AGCATAGGACAGTGATTCAGAGGAGCTCACCTGTCTACAACAGTCTGCCTTTGTCACCCCCTCCCCCGACTACAGCACTTACCTACAATCCAGTTTTTAGGGGGTTTCCCTGAGACTGTTCGAGAATCTGCTTCCAGAATAGGGATGCTGAATAGTGTTGGGTACCAATTTAATCAGAAATAAGTTTGTTTGTTTAAAAACAAAACAAAACAGGACAGAGTGTCTCACATGTCCAATTCTGGTCTTCAAGTTACCACATAGCCAAGGATGAGTTTGGACTCCTGCCCCTCCTGCGATTACCTCCTGAATGCTGGGATTACAGGCATGGGCCACCACAACTGGTTTTATGTGGTGCTTGGGTTGAAATCGGAGCTCATTGCTTTATCAACTAAACTACATGGCCAAGTCCTAGACTGAAAGCGTCCATGATTCCTGTCTTCCAAAAGCACTGTCATGTCAGCCCAGCTGTCCTCATCCCAACATGTAAAGAATGGTACGTGTGTGTATGTGTGTGTGTGTGTGTGTGCGTGCGTGCGTGTGTGTGTGTGTGCGTGCGTGCGTGCGTGTGTGTGTGTGTGTGTGTGTGTGTGTCCTAGAATACCATGAGGGGTAGGACAGAAAGGAAGAAGATGCGGGGGTGGGGGTGAGAGAGATTGAAGAGTAGGGTCAGGTGAAGGAAGAGTGGGACAGGTAGGGGATAAGTGTTGTCTGGGGGTGACATGAAAGAACTGGGAGGTGCAGGCAGGCTGCCAGATGTGTGTACATATGTTTCCATGTTGTTTGGAAGTCGAAAGGAAAGATGGAAGGGGGTAGCTAAGCCAGGGGTATTAGGTAAAAATGGCCACTAATCTCCATACAAAGTGCTGATGAGACACCAGGGAAGATGAAAGGAAGCCCCCAGGAGAGGTGAAAATACAATCCAGGGTTTAATAGGGAGCAGGAGGAGTATAGCAAATACAGAGAGCCACGGGACACTTAACCCTGCTTCTTCAAGGTAATCCTTGCTTTACACACCAGCCTGTATCCTCGGAAAGAGGTCTGAACATTGTTGTTTATACACCAAATCCCACCGTAAACACATTGAGATGCCAGCTCTTGGGAGAAATTGTCTTAGACAAACCCCCTGCAATCCTTTGTACTGAAGGTGCACACTGGGCCCCAGTGTGCTGTAGAGCTCTGTGCTTTTCTGTCTATGACAAACAAGGTCTACTACTGCAAAGCTAATCCAAAATCTCCCTCCAGGACAGCTGCATATGGGATAAGTCAAGAGGAGTCACGAAGCTGGGGGACCATCTTGTAAAAAGCAAGCAAAGAGACAAGTATGGAGACAATACGTTCTTGGAATGCTGGGATTAGTATACTCCAACAATAAAAGGCGACAACTCTGGCCTCTGAGTTCGGCTGGTTTGTGCCTTCACTGGGGGCGTCCGTCTTTTCAACATGGTGAAAAAACTGTGGGTAAGTTTGTAAATATCAAGGCCCTGACATTGGGGGACACGTCTCCTAGAGGTTACGAGTCTGAGAAGAGCTTGGGATACCCCCTTCTCTTAACTGTGAGATCTGAGAAAATTACAACTGTGGTGGATTGTCATGGAGGATCTAGGACTTGGTCACTAGTGTTCCTCCCTCCAAAAACTCATTTATGATGTCACTAAAAGGCATCTGAGCGGAGAGGAACTTGGATGTGTAAAAATCCAGCCCCCAAATATTTGTAAGTGCTCCAAAATTAGACTCCAGGGACCATGGTAACAGGATAAAATTACCCTCTTTAGGCCACGATGACCTTCGTTATTACTTAGCAGCTTGTTGGAAACTTCACGGTGTCAGTCACTTTGTCTTATAATCCTTCCCCTCAGAACTTTAAGTGGGGCAGTGGCTTACAGAGCCGCAGCCCTGCAGCATTATTAAGTCTGTCCCGCTTTTCTGGATTACTGAGAAAAGCGTCACTTTTCCTTTTCTTCTTTCTCTAAGCATGCATTTCTTTTTCTTTTTTTTTTAACACTTGGGGTTTCACTTTCTTTGTAACTCTCCCTTCCAGGTCATGTGACTACTTGTCCACTATGTGGCTGACCTCCATGCCAGCTCCAATTCCCAAAGAGAAATTGACAGGTGATGTGTGTGTGTGTTTGTTTGTGTGTGTGTGTGTGCGCGCGCGCTATTGTATCATTCAGGAGTGTGTTTTATCTTTGATGATAAAGAAGGTATATAGAATCGCAATGTTGGTCTCTGGGCCGACACTGGGCTGTCAGCTAAGCTCACTAATGCATTCAGAAGCCTCTTCTTTCTCATTAGTTCCATCGAGGGGCCTTTTCTATATTCATGCAGCAATGGGAATAGCAGGCTGTGAAGTCATAAGATTGCTCACATAGAGTCGAAACTCTCAGATGCTAAATCTGTACCCGCTGAGGGTCTGTTGCATAAGATTCCGAGGTTCTTGGGGAAGGAGAAGAGGGCTGATTCTAACTCATCTCAGAGAATCAGCGCAAGGACAGACTGAATGGCAGAAACCTTGCATACACTATGCAAGAGTGTGTGCATATGTGGATAGGTGATAGATAGGTGGATGGGTAGATAGAAAGATGATTGGTGGATGGAAGGATGCGTGCACATATATATGTATGTACAGGTGGAGACAAACACATGGATGGATATATGGATGGATGGGGTAGGTAGACGAGTAGATGGATGGAATCATATATGGATGTAGGGGTAAAGGTATGATGGTTGGAATAAGGGATGGATGCATGCATATATGGACATATGATTGGATAGATAGATGAGTGTATGTTCAGATGGATGATGGATGGGTGGGTGGGGTTTGCATAAAATACCACCTGCTAATTCTTTGCAACTCTACCTTTTTAGAGATGCACATCATATTATAGTAGGCATTAGAAGCTTCCAAATAGTTCTCCAGAGACATATGTCAAACATGCTGCATGTGGCCCAAGAGTTTGTAACAGATTCTTTTTAGAAGCTCTTTGACATCGGTTTTACAAAACACCTTTTCTGTTTCTAGATTAGTGTAAGCATAAATCGCTGTATTTTGCAAAAATCCCAGGTCTAGGCAGGGTACAGTAGGGACCACCTGTAGTCCTAGACCTCAAGAAGCAGAGACAGAAGGGACACCACTTGATGGACAGTCTAGGCCACGCAAGGAACTGTCTCAAACGACAAAACAGGACCACAGATGCTTCAAGTCCCAAAGCTATCTACACGGCCCCTTTTGTTCACTTTGTGTTTTCCCAAATACTGATAGAAAGCAAAGCATGGACTCTTCTTTAAAAAAAAAATGGTTTAAAACCTTCACCTTGAAAGTACATCCTGCAAATCTTCCGAGCTGCCACAAAAATCTTCATAGTTTCTGAAAATTGCCCAAATATGGTAGTGTTGCCACAACCAATTGCTCAGCAATCCAACAGACCCAAGGGCTGACAAGGAACTGATGTTCTGAAAATGAAAGTATCTGGGCACCACACACGGGCGTGCCCCAGAGCTCCAGATGTCACACACCTGCGCTCGGCTGCTGTTAGCAAACGCCCTGGGATCCTCACCAGATTGTCCTATGCTGTTGTTATACAGAACAGTCCGTCTCCCACCCAGGGGGATGGGGGGGGCAGGATTCCATATATCCTACCTGATATTTCCTCTCCTCAAAAATAAAACATAGGGTCTTTTGTGTGCCCCCTCATCCTGATCATGATCCTAAGTCAATGAATGTGTGGGTAGAGGTGAGAGGTCAGTGTAGGTCTCCTGTGAGGTCAGTGTATGATGTCTCACTCTGTTGCTGGCCACCTTAGTTTTTGAGACAGGGTCTCTGACTCAGCCTGGAGCTAGAATCACACAGCAGACAAAGCTCTAGACACTGTCCGTGAGGGAGTATCTAGATCAAGCTATCTTCTGGGGTTAGCTGGAGGGGGGGGAGGATTGTCTAGATTTGTTTAATTGAGGCAGGAAGACTCCCCCTGAATGTGGGTAGCCCTGTCCTATAGGCTGTGATCCTGAACTAAGCCAAGAGGAGAACGGGAGGTGAGCAGCAGCTTCTGCTTGCTGGTGTGGATGACCACAGTATGACCAGCAGACTCCTGCAGCCGCGCCGTCCCTGCCAGGATGAGTTATAGCCCCTGGGACTGGGAGCCCAAACAAACCCTTCCTGCTTTAGTTGCTTTCGTCGGGTATTTTGTTGCAGCCACGAGCCAAGTCACTAATTCAGTGACTGAGTCGTCACCACCCCCCTCAGCCCTAGGAGTTATTTTAATAAAACAAGTATCCTGATATAGGTGGCAAACCCACAGCTAGAAATGGCTGTGGTCAAATAGTCCATTTAACATAACTCTTAAAATTCTTCAACCAGTCAGCAAATGATTGCCACCATCCTACTGATGACCCCAAACAGGGCTCTCTGCCCTGCCCAAGGCCTTTCTACAAAGGATAATTTTCTCTCCTTTCTGCCATAAGCATTCCAAAAACGAAGAAAGGCCAAGGAAATGTACTATTGCCTAAAACCTGGAGACAAATGCCATCTTCGTGGACAAATCATGGTTCTGAGGAGCCTTCTGTATGACCATAAAATACCCCCATGGTATCCATATAACACACCTAAAAAAAAAATTTTAAAAAAACCTTTAAAAAAAGAGAAATTTATCCCAAGCCCTTAGCTGTAAGTCATGACTGACGCCTAAAATAAAGGGAGAACTAGGCAGAAGGCAGAGATGGGTCCAGTTCTGCGATATTTGTCAAGGGCGCACCCTCATCCCCGTGCTGCGGATCAGATTCACAGCGACATAAGAAGCTAATGATGATGGTGAAGACTTTCTAAGAAAGGTTAGGACGTGGTGCGCAAGCCTGGCGTCACAGAAGGTGTCAGATTTTCCACTTGAACTCCCAGCTCTCGAGGATGGCACTTTGCTTCGGGGAAGATCTTGGTGTTAGGAGGGCTCACCCTGAAACCAGGGTCCCACCCGCACCCTCTCCTCCTCTGATGGCCTCTCAGCTCTCACCTGGACTTGTTAAGGTCGAGAACTCCAGATCCAGCTACACTGAAAATCAGCTCTTTCCAGTCAACCGCCTGAGCCTGGCTCTCCACGAGGGGCGCGCAGCAAAGCGCTCTCTTTACAGATTGCAGATTTGCATTGTAAAAATAGAAACGCCGGAGCATCACATGTCTATGCAAATTTGCCAACCAAACCCAGTGCTGAAAATAGTTATTTACTAGTTTGCGTGCATATTGGCCCAGAAAAGCCTCTATACCTATTTCATGCTCATTTAAATTCTTTAAGAGTCCCTGACCCATTTACATTTCCTGAGGGATGCCTGGCTTCCTGTGGACATTTGCTTCCACCTCTTCTAGTGGTACTTAAAGATATATTGCCTGTCACTGCAGATCAGCTCCCAGAGAACTGCCTAGGCCCCACTTTCTGATGATCCAGGCTGGACCCTGCCTAGTCAAGTACAGCCACAGCCTTGGAGTCATGGCTTTCTTGGCATAGCATGTGTGTCTACTTGTTGCGTATATTTTTGTAAGTCCACGTAGGAGCTAATGGATAACTTGAGTGTTGTTTCTTAGGAGCTGGCCAACTTTTGTGAGACCAAGTGTCTGTTTGGCCTTGACCAATTTGGCTAGGCTGGCTGGCTAGTAAGCCTTGGGGATTTGCCTGGTTCCTGCTTCCCCCGTGCTGGGATTATGAGAGTAAAACCGCCCCGTCTGTTCTATTTGTTTTCACATAGATTCCTGGGATCAAACTTAGGTCCTCATGTTTGCAAAACAAATCCTTTACCCCGTGAAGTCATCTCCCCAGCGATGCCTCCTCTTGTGCAATCCTCCAGATACAATGGGAAGGGAACCCGGAGAACTGGGGAATAGTTGCCCGTCGTCTGGTCCTTGGGGACACACATCACAGCCACATGGGTAAGGGGTGGGAAGTGGAAAAGGTTTATAAAAAGTGCAAACTCTTGGTGGCTCTCCACAGCCACTACATCTGAATGTCCGGGGATGAGACACAGACATGGCTGTTTTAAACAGCCTGTTACAGTAACTGCAGTGACGTCCAAACCAAGAAAGTAACCCCCGGGCCGGACAATGTGCTATTTAGAAACCAAAGTCTATTGAAGTCTGGGTAAGGCCAGAGGGTCTCATGGGACTTAGTGTCAAGTGAGGTCGCAGACGTCCTTTGGAGGGTGTGAGAAGCAAAAATGACTTGGCAAAATCAGCCACTCCATGTGGAGCTCTGTACTTGCGATTCTTCCAGGAACCCTGCAGAGACTCGCTGGATGAGCCCCTGGCCCTCGTTGTATCACAACTGATGACTTCTGCCGCCCGCCAACCCCACAAGAGAGATGCCTCTCCTCTCGGTACTTAGGGACGTGGTGGAGTTTGTAAAACTTAACTGTATGTGTTTAATTCCTGGCTCCGCCACACACCAGTGACTTGAGTTTGTCAATAATGACCATTCCTGCCTAGAAAGGTCACTGGGAAGAAAGGTGTTGCAAAGAACCTGGGCTGGACCAGCCAGAGAGCAACTCCTTAACCAGTGTTTAAGTCACCCACTTCTCCTTGGATCTGACAGCACCCGAAGACATCCTGGAGGTCCTTCCAGATCAACAATCAAGACGGACTTGGATGCCAAGTAGCGTGAAGAAGCTGCTTCACTATCTGGCTGAAGGAAGAAACCAAAGTTACCGCATTTCTAAGACACACCCACCGTCCAGTAGCAAGAGTTTTGCAGTCGGAAGTTCAGTGATAAGGCCACAGTAGGTCCCCTTTCGTCTCAGCACGCAAATACATTTGCCAAACTTTTATTCTTGCACATGCAAACACGCAATTTGTCTATGTCTCTGTCTCTCTGTCTCTGACTGCGTCTGCCTGTCTCTTTCTTCTCTCTCATCCTTCTGACACCCGTTCTAATTGATCCCTATACTCCTGTGCAGGTATCAGCTCACCTAGGGAAACAGTGATCAGGCAGATGTGCTACTGTATCTCGAAGCGCCGAACCATGCTGAGAGCTACCCACAGACAGACACTCACTTGCTGGCAGTCACGACGAGGGGAGTTCAACCCTGGAGTCCCACACAGATTCCTGCAAGTCATCCCCTGACTTTCACATGTATGATACAGCACCCCCCCCCACAACGCCAACAATAAATAAATAAATGTAGATGATATGTAAATAAAAGAGAAAGAAATGCCTGTAACACCCTTCCACTTACTAGACATTGCAAAGTTATGGCACAAATCTCAGCGGGAGTAGGGTAGGAGTGGGTCGAGATACTTTGGAAACCTACTGAAAGCGGAACCTAGGAGCGATCATTCCCTCCGCGTCGTGTCAGCAGGATTCAGGAAAAGAGAGCAGGGTCGGGGAGTGGAAGTGCAAACACATTCCAGAAACCGCTTCATTGTCCGCCATGTACTCTGCCCCCCCTTCCCCCCTCCTCCTGCCACAACAGAAATCTGTGAAATGACGGAGGGTGGTTAATTAAGCATTGCAGCCCACAGTCCACTGCAGTTTCAATTGGTTATGGTGTTCTCTCTCACTTCCTGTTATGTGGGATTGCAGAGGGCTGTTAGACACCTGCCATGCTCAGGGCCCAGCTGCTGCACTGTTCCGCAGCGGACAGAGAGGAAGCACTCTGGGGCTCTCGGCCTCGAGAGGGTTCAACTGCACAGCAGCCCCTTCCCCGCGAGGCAGGAGGGCCCCGGGCCGACACAGCTGATGTGAGGACCAGCAGCTGGCAGCAAAGACCTTGTTCTATTGTGAAGGGGGTGGCAGGGGTCCAACTGCTTTCTCTCAGTTCCTCATTCCCCAGAGTCCTGCCATGACCTGTGGGTAGTGAAGGTGGGTGCATCTACCCAGACTGGAATCAGACGTCAGTCTGCAGTTTCCCCATGTTCCAAATCACTGGGAAGACTTCCCATCCAGAAGAAGCATTCAGTTAAACGTTGAGCTATCCGTTCGTTCAACCCTCACTCACCCACTGGTTTGTCTCCTTGTGGAAACATCTTATGGGTTAGGCTCTCTGTGCTAGGCTGTGGGTAAAGACAAGCCACGATTTGGCAAGCATCTCTTAAATGCCGCTAGCTAGCCCTGTTAGCCAATCTGCCACTTTACTGAGAATCTACTAGGTGCTAAGTAACATACCCAGGGAGTCCTGGCTCCTTTGTCTAAGAAACCAACTCCTGGCTTCTCTGGGGAGATTTTATTCTCTACCCGAACAATAAACAGCAGAAAGCAGAGAAGCGAATCCCCGAGGCAGGACGATTGGGAGAGGGAGGGTTTCCGCAAAGACAGCCCATCGTAATAGATTAAAGATGGCCAAGGTTTCTTTGATATGTCTGATGTCAAGAATTGGGCTCAGGGCTTGGAGTTTCCAGGGGCTGTGTTTGGTAGTTAAGAGTGTGCAGTGCTTTTTCAGAGACCCCAAGTTCTGGTCCCAGAACCCACACTGGAAATCTCATGACCACCTGAAACTCCAGCTCCAGGGGATCCGACGCCCTCTTCTGGACTCTGAGGGCATTTGCACTCATGTGTACCCTCTAACACATACACGCAGCTAAACATAATTGAAAATAAAGTGGGGTCCATGTCTCCATCTCCTCGATGACTTAACAGGAGGCAGTGAAAGTGAAATTGTGTCAATTCTGCCATTTCGGGGTACTTTCTTTTTTCCTTTCCCTTAGAGACCTGCCACGTGTAGACTCCGAGGCCACCTTGCTGAAAGGAAACCCAACCTAGAAGCCTACAGGGGTCACATGAAGAGGTAGTTTCCTTTCTGGGCCCTTGGCAGCCCTTTGACTCTTGGAATTCTCACAAATCTGCACCCAATGTCACAGACCCCTACCATGCCCTGCGTTTTTCTGACCCAGAGGGCTTTTCTATGCAGCAATATTGGCCAGTGTAGAACCCTGTGATTTGGAGGGGAGGACTTGTTGACGGGAGGAGATCGCTACGTGGTTCAGTTGGAAAGTTTGGAGGATATTTAGATGAAACCGTATGCTGGCTCCTCTGGGACTCCTGTGAGAGTCTGGGGACTGTTTAGCCAACCCCTGTGAGAGAGAATTCGAAAGAAGCAGGCCTGTGGCATTAGGAGGTGACACCTAGTGGGACTGTTTTAACTAGACACAGTTTCCAGACCATGTTGGAATCTGTGTCTACGATAAGGAGGCAGATGAATATACAATGGTTGAGACAAGACCCTCTACTGCAACCATGTCATCTTCATAACAGCTTTGCAGAGGAGCCAGAATGGGGCATTTAGCACCCATTTCAGGGCTAGGGAAACTGGGCCTTAGAGAAGTGGGTTCATTCTTCAGGGGCATCTTGGAGCAGCAAAGTTAACTGGACTCCGGCTTTTGCTCCTTAGACTCCCGCACTTGCTCCTTGGGGCTGGCCACCCCGCCCCCGAAGGATGAGTGAAAAGCAGAACACTTGTCTTTAAAATCCTCATAAAATCCCAAATCTAAGACCCCACAGGCAGAGAAGCTACCTCCAATCAGATAAGAGAGTTATCTCTCCTGGCAGCTTTAGAACAGAGGGCAGAGTATCCAACAAGGCGGGCTCTTATCTGATAAGAGATATGGCCACCTTTACATATTAATTTCCCTTAACTCATTAGGGCTCAGCTCTATAATTATCTTTCCCGGGACTGGTTACACGGGTCACTGGATCTGTGCCCCAAAGGGAGAAATCTTTTCTCTCTAAACACCTTTTTCAGTTAAGAAGATACTGTACGTCCTAGACAGTTACAATTTCCAGGTGTGTGTGTGTGTGTGTGTGTGTGTATGTGTGTGCATATATGTGTGTCTGTGTGCATGCATGTGTATATGTGTGTTTATATGTGTATGTATGTGTGTGAGTGCATGCATGTGTGTCTGTATGCACACGTGTGTGTGTCTGTATGTGCATGCGTGTGTCTGTGTGTGCTTGCATGTGTGTGTCTGTGTGTGCATATGTGTGCATGCGTGCGTGCATGTGTCTGTGTGTAGGGGGGGCCAGATGTCCATGTCAGGTGTCCTTCTATATTATCTCTACCTTAGCTTTTGAGACAGAACCTTTCACTGAAACTGGAGCTTGCTGATTCAGCTGGGTTGGATGTCAGTGAGCTCCAGCAATGCTCTTGT